CCCCCCCCGTCCCTCTAAAAAAAGCAAGACTACTTAGCCCTTAACTTTTAGAGGGAGTTCAGCACATGGCCAGCAGGTGGCAGCATCGAGCTGCAGTTCCCATGCCGCCTCCCTAGGCCGTCCTCCTTAGTTGTGACGTACATATTGTGCACTTTACTCTTCACGATCCTTGGGCCCAAGGTTGACCGGCTTTGGCAGCTCCTCAGGTGTGTAGGAGGACAGTGCTAGCTTGTGTTTATCCTTCAGCTTTTAGTCATTGTCTTTGTTCTGTCACCCTTTCAAAATAGCAAGCTCAAGCCAGTTGAGAAAAATTATCCACAGACGAGTGGTTTGGACAGAGCTTGGCAGCAGCGGCTCCTAACGAAAGGACCCGGAGCAGAGGGAGTCACGCGCAGTTTCCAGGTGTGGCAGGACTGGTTTGGGCCTCATTGTTGGGCTTATCACCCGGCTTTCTCATTAGCGATGTGAAAGTGTTTTGTTGAATTTCATTTTCCTCGTGGTCAGTACTCAGTAGGAACTTACGCTGGGGTTCTGGGTTTGCGGGCGGAAGTCCACAGAGATAAAGTGACAGTCTCATTACATCACATCAAGGGATGCATGTGAGCGGGACGTCATCACTTGTGATACTAGCTCTCATCACCTGTCAGTTGTCAGACTTCCCACTGTATCCCCTCCCCCAGTGCTCTTCATAAATGGTTTGTAATTCTCTGTAAAGATGTCACCCCATCTACCCCATGCCTATTTGTTGTATCGTGTATTTACTTTAGTATGGGCTTGTCAATATTTATTTTACACTTCGGGTTATAAGCTAATGCTGCATTATTTTGTTGCTCCTTGTTCCAGCTTTGGCCACTGAGAACTCTTAGATTGATTCCTTGTCTGGCTCATCTTCATTTTCCCTGCCCAAGTCATTTCTCCAAGGTACCTGGAGTTTGTGGATCGGTTGCTTTGTTTATAGGAAAGGTATTAGAGATCAAGATCAGGGTGCTGGCTCTGTGCATTACCACTCGGGTGCTATGTACACTGAGTCCCCCACACACTGGGGATTACTCCTGCATCGGTTCGCCTGTATGTTTCTTTTTTTGTCTTTTTTTTTTTTTTTTTGTCTTTTTGAGACAGGGTCTCGCTATGCATTTCAGGCTGGCCTTGAGCTCACTTTGTAGCCCAGGCTGGCCTCAAACTGTCAACAATCCTCCTGCCTCAGCCTCCCACAGGCTGGTATTACAGGCATGTAATGGCCAGCACACCTGGCCTTTTTCTTGTCTTTTTGAGACAAGATTTCACTATGTGGTTCAGGCTGGCCTTAAACTCACCTTGTAGCCCACAGCAATCCTCCTGCCTCAGCCTCCCGAATGCTGGGGTTACAGGCGTGTGCCACCATGCCTGACTACACTGCAGCTCAGGATCACCAGATTCATTCTCGGGTCTGCAGAATTATCCACCTGAATCTTTGCAGTGCCACCTGATTTTCAGTGTCACGGCTATTTGCCAAATAGTGGCACTATTGACAAGGTTGATAATCACTTTTAATAATCTATTATTATGGTAAATTGAGATGGGTTTTTTTTTTTTCCCTTGCAGGGGTGGTTTTTGAGACAGGGTCTCACTGTGTAGTGCAAACTGGCCTTGAACTCACATGTGTAGCCTAGGCTGGTTTCAGTCTCCCAGTGATCCTCCTGTCTCAGCCTCCTGAGTGCTGGAATTACAGACAAGCATCAACACACCCAGCTAATGAGCAGGCTTTATTAAATAATTTTGTTAGGTGTGGCACAAACCTGTGATCCCAGCTATTTGGGAGGCTGAGGCAGGTTTATGAGTTTGAGACCATCCTAGGTAGTTTATTGAGACTCTGTCAAAAAAGGGGCTGGTAGAGTACTGCAAAAAAAAGTTTTCCTTGAGTCTTACAGTTGATAGTCTATTGAATGCATTTCCAAGCACCTCCCACCAAGGAAACAACAAAAAATGATAGGATAGCCCATTTGCTTTGCCTCACATGCTCACAGGAGACCCAGAATAGCAATCTTAGTAATACTTTAAACACTGCTAAATTATGATCACTGAAAAGAACTGAAGAGTTTCAAATTGGCCCCACCAGTGTAGTGCATCTTCGCGTGTTTGTGGGTCATGCTACCATGAGGCACTGCGCTGTCCCTCTCCGCCACTGTTAGACTGGGTTTTCTGACAGCCTGTGTATTATTTAGGCCATCGACACTCTGGTCATTATGGTTCTCTAGGCTTGCTTTTTAGTTCCAGGGATAGCAGAGTTTTTCTGAAAAGGGTTAGATAGTAAATATTTAGGCTTTGTGGACCAAAAGGGATCCACACACATGCGTGTGTAACACCGTGTTTTTTACTTTTTTTTTAAATGTAAAAACGGGGGGGGGGGTAGCTGGGGATTTTAGCTCAGCAGCACAGTGCCTGCCCAGAAAGCGTCTGCCCAGCAAGTGCAAGGTCGTGAGTTCGATCCCCGGTACCAGGACACAAAACAAAACGTAAAAACTGTTTTTAGCTTGAGGAATGTACAGAAATATCTGCCTGCAGTTTGCCTACCCCTGCTGTAGTGGCTTCCTCAGGAACGGCTTGTGGAGACAGCATAGAAAATCCTTGGCCCGCATCTTTCCTCCTTTAGGTATTTTAAGTGTGTTGCTCATTTTCTTTAGGCATAAAATGTTGCAGTTGAAGCCTGATGATACATTTTCCTGAAGTTGGTTCTGCCTAGATGCTCTCAAGGTTTTTTTGGTTTTTGTTTTTTTGTTTTTTTTTCATTTTTTAAAAAAAATCTTCTTTCTCTTTAAAATTAAAAAAATTTTTTACAGTAAGTTTATTGGGGTCAGGGATATAGCTCAGTGGTACAAGCGCCTGCCTGGCAAGCACAAGGTCCTGAGTTCGATTCCCTGTACCCCCCTGCCAAAAAAAAAATGGTTTATTGGTACATTTTAGGTATACATAATGATCACATTCATCACAGGAGACTTGTGTGTGTACATGATATAACTTCTTTTTTTTCCCCATTTCCCTCCCCTCCCTTCAAACTATCTTCTGCTCCCTTTTTAAAAAATTTCTTTGCCGTCTACTTGTGGGTCATTCTTGGTTGATATGTTGTACTATGTTGTGTTCTTTCAATATGTAGTTTTCAGGTATTTAAAATTTTTTTTTGTTAAAATATGGTGCTAGCTTTTTATTTCCTTGCATTAGTTTTATCTACATGAACTCCTAGTACCCTTTTCATCTTTTCTGCTAACTTTCAGTATTTGTCACCTGTCACTTCGTCTTGGGTCCTTCATTTTGAGGCAGGGTCTCGTAATACAGCCAGGCTGACCGTGAACCGAGATCCCTCTGCTCCAGCCTCCGTGCTAGTGTTACAGGCACACACTGCCACACCCGGCTTCATGCTTGTTCTCCTTGTTTCTGTTAAATTTTTATTACCAGTTCTTTCAGGGCCTTATTTCTCAGTTTTCGAATTCTGACTTAGGCTATTCTTGTATCATTTTCTTAATAACTTTCAGCTGACTGTGTAAGAGGCACAGTTTGATTTGCTTTCTGAGCAGAGTCTTAGTGACATGCATTCATTGTCAGAAGTTTTGTTCTTTATCTGAAAATCCTGCATTGTTAGAAGGAAGTGTGATTCAGGATAGTTTTCCTGCAGGTCTCATTCTCTTTCTTGTGGTGCTAGAGATCAAGCCCAGGGGCTTGCTCCTGTGAGGTGGGCTCTGCTACACAGATGCTGGGCTCCTAGTGGACATTACCACCCTCTTCTACATTTGTTCTTGCATGGTGCACTTGCTTTTGAATACAGTAACGCTCTCCAAACACAATTTGACAACAAAAATGTTATCAGAGGAAAAGCACAGAGCCATCCTGTTGAAATTAAACTGTGCCCCATGCTGGTGATTTGCCGGGAGCTCAGCAGATGTCAGATACCAGATATTTGAGATTTGAAGTGTACCATCTAGCTGGCGCCCCTGAGTTTGCTTACTTAGAGAGGGGCATGTACCTGAATGTATGTTCGGAAACCAGTGTGTTTCTTCGGGGACAGCAGTGCTGTGAGTTGAGGAACAAGAGAGCGCGTGCACGCGCGCGCACACACACGTGTATATTGACCATGATGTTCAGGGACATTGAGTGGTGAATATTTGCGTTTGCTTTATGACCGCTGCTGTGAATTTGACTGACTGGTACAAGATGTGGTCAATAAGCCTGTCAGATTTTACAAAGAAAACTTTGTCTTTCAAGAGAAGGCAAGGATATGGATATAGTAGAGAAAAACCAGATTGCATGGCAGTAGGATTCATCGTGCACAGAATCTTGGAGATTGTGCCAAGTAAGACTTGTCACTAATGTCTTATTTTATTTAATTTTTGAGACAGCGTCTCACTGCAGTTAAGGCTGGCCTCGAACTCACAGGGATCCTACTGCCTCAGCCTTCAGAATGCTGGAATTACAGGCTTGTGTCACCATGCCCCACTTAAGCCATGTTTCTGTAAGACTGGGTTTATAAATTTCAAGGTATATTAGCTCTCTTTTGTTAAGAGACTGGTTTCAACAGTTTGGTTTTTTGTGGTTCTGGGGAGGGAACTCAGGGCCTTGCACTCTACCACTGAACTACATCTTCAGTCCTTAAGAAGAGTATTTAAATCACCTATTTTAGTAGGAAGCTAGAAGCTGGACGCTTGGGTGAGGGACCTATGGAACTGCTTTATACAGAAAGAAATACGGTGGCACTGTGCTAAGCGGGACTTCTGTGTGTGTAGGCAGTGAATGCTTCCTCTTAACAGTTCTTGCAGTTGAGCGGGGCCCCGAGCCCAAGGCCAGGCAAAGGAGCAGATGTGTAACTGTGCCATCCTCTCCCACAGTGCATTCCATGGGAACCGGTACGAGCAGACTCTACAGCGCTCTTGCCAAGACCCTGAACAGCAGCGCCGCCTCTCAGCACCCAGAGTACTTGGTGTCTCCTGACCCAGAACATCTGGAGCCCATTGATCCTAAAGAGCTTCTCGAGGAATGCAGGGCGGTCCTGCACACTCGGCCTCCGCGCTTCCAGAGGGACTTTGTGGATCTCAGGGCAGATCGCCCCAGCAGCCACCCATCCATTCGGGTCATGCAGTGGAACATCCTTGCCCAAGGTAGGCGTGACGCCTCCGCGCCTGTGCGGTGATCTTTGCTGTGACTTCTTCGTGCTTCTGCTCAAGCACCGTGCACCAGGAAGAGTTGGGGCAGGTGGCGGCGTGGAGGCTGCCGTGACGGGCTTATTGGGCGGCACAGTGGCACCGCCTCAGGCTTCGTCTCCAGCTTCAGTGTGTACAGCAGTAAGGTAGCACTTGCAGGGTAACAGAACTTCTGCAGGGAAGGGCAGCTGTGTATGGGTCTCATCTAGGTAGCTTGAGACCAAAGACACACACTTCACTTCTCTCATTTCAATAAAATAAAGTGATACTTTGGTTCGCAAACAGTTTGGATCACAAACAAAGGCACATGGCAAAATTTTGGTGTGTGTGCAAACTCTGCAGTAGGTGGCGAAGACGACCTCGCCATTTTACCTGCACAGACACAAACGTGGCCATCTTTTCTAGAACTGTGAAAAAATTAAGTTGATGAACCAAGGCTCCACTGTATTTTGTTGCAGTAGCAAGGTCTCCTTTCCTGTGCCTGCCCAATTAAAAACCAGACGAATCAGTCAACCTTCAGTAGCATTGCCTTCTGTGTAGCAGTTGAAATTTAAGGAACCTGGCATCTTTTTATGTATGTGTTTACTTCCTAGAAAAGAAGGGAGTATTTGACTTCTTGTATTTTTCCAAGTATTCCCAGGCTGGTGGTTTAGAACTGTCAGTTGTTACGTTCAACAATCCTCCTGCTTCAGCCTCTGAGTGCTGGGATTATAGGCATGTGCCACCCATACCCAGCCAAAGTATTCATTCTTAAGTAGTAAAGTCTGCCTGTTAAAATGTCTCATTCATTTGAATTGTGCCTCTTTATATTGTTTATGTGGCTTTTTATTACAGTCTGCTAAAACTAGTATGTAGAGTAGTTAGGTTTATTTCACCTGATGCAGTTTATTTTTGGTACCAGGAACTGAACTTATGACCTCAGGCTTGCCAGGCAAGTGCTTAAGCCACTGAGCTATATCACTGGCCCCTTCCTGATGCAGTTTAGATCCCTCGGGCTGCAAAGAACAGTTTCCATTACGTAACAAGGCTTATTTTCTGAACTGTAGCTACACAAGATAGTTTTAACACACAAGACCTCAGTTGCTTGCAAGAGGTTATTTAGTTTGGGTGGGCAAGCAGTGTAGAATGAAGAGCCACCTCAGCATGTGGAGCAGAGGGGACATCCTGAGGGCTGTTCGGAGTACAAGCCTAAGGTGACTTGGAGATGTAGTTCTGGAGTAGCTGACAGCCACCGGCTTTTTCTTTTCAGCGCTTGGAGAAGGCAAAGACAACTTCGTGCAATGCCCCATTGAAGCACTCAAGTGGGAAGAACGGAAATGCCTCATCCTAGAAGAAATCCTGGCCTACCAGCCCGACATCCTGTGCCTACAGGAGGTGGACCACTACTTCGACACCTTCCAGCCGCTGCTCAGTAGACTGGGCTACCAAGGCACGTTCTTCCCCAAACCCTGGTCACCGTGTCTAGATGTTGAACATAACAACGGGCCGGATGGCTGTGCCTTGTTTTTCCTCCAAAACCGATTCAAGCTGGTCAACAGTGCCAATATTCGGCTGACGGCCATGACGCTGAAGACCAACCAGGTGGCCATTGCCCAGACCCTAGAGTGCAAGGAATCCGGGCGACAGTTCTGCATCGCCGTCACCCACTTGAAAGCGCGCACTGGCTGGGAGCAGTTTCGATCCGCCCAGGGCTGTGACCTTCTCCAGAACCTGCAGAACATCACACAGGGAGCCAAGATTCCCTTGATCGTCTGTGGGGACTTCAACGCAGAGCCCACTGAAGAGGTCTACAAACACTTCGCCTCCTCCAGCCTCAATCTGAACAGCGCCTATAAGCTGCTGAGTGCCGATGGGCAGTCCGAGCCGCCCTACACCACCTGGAAGATCCGGACCTCAGGGGAGTGCAGGCACACCCTGGACTATATATGGTACTCCCAGCATGCGCTCAGCGTGAGGTCGGCGCTCGACTTGCTCACCGAGGAACAAATTGGACCCAATCGTCTCCCGTCCTTCAATTACCCTTCAGATCATTTGTCTCTGGTGTGTGACTTCGGCTTTAATGAGGAACCGGATGAGCTTTTATAACAGCTTGTCTGGGTGTTTTTAATCACAAGTCTTAACCAGGGAGATTTCAGGAAACAAATAGGATACATAGTTGCCGGGGGGAAAGTGTCTAGTTTTTGTCATTTCCCTTTTCACGTTTCCAGCATGCCCTTAGGAAAGAAAGGCTCCCTTAACTCACACACCTTTTAAAACCTGCCGTGAAAAGGTGTTTGCACTCCAGTTGGGGCTTGTGTTGATTCCTTTCCCTTCACATTTTCAGTCATTTATGGGCATTCAGTTAGATTTATTTTGAAGCTTTTTCCAGCTTGAGGCTGCTGTAAAAACTCAGGCTTACTGGATGAAGTCCTCCGTAATTAACATTGAGTATCTAGGGACAGTTTCTTTGGACAGCATTTCAAGTTATTTATTTGTAGGTTTTTAAGTATCAACAGGATGTGCATGGCAGTATTTATTTTTTTATACCTTTATGTAAAATTAAGTAAATTATAGCATTATGAACATTTTAGAATCATGCAAAAAACACAAGTTACAGAAAGTAACTTATTTCATCTAACAGCATGTGCATAAGGAATTGCCCAGCCGGCAGGGGTGTTGTTACTGGATGTAACGTCAGGTCTGTGATACGTTCTTCATGAATAATCCTTGCAGCGCCTTCGTGTTCCCCATGATTGTGTTTCTTGAAGGATTCCAATTAGTGTTCAATTAAATGAATGTTTGCATTATTTAATCTCTGGTTCGTATTTGTACTTCTGTTACATGATTAGCACACACGTGAGGGCCACTGGGTGTCACCGTCACGGTATTGGTGCCTGCTTTTTACAGTAGGTTATTTAGGAGTTTTTATGTGGCAGTGAATGAGAAAGTCAGTGAGACTGTCTCCAAGATGGGAAATTTGCCAGAAACCTGTAAATGGGCTGCCATTGCAACTGCCCCGAACAACCAGGTGACTGGTTCTCATCTGTCTACGGAGATGAAAAGTTACAAAGATTTCCTGGATTTCTTTTATGTAAAAGTGAGAGAGATGCTAGTAAGCGGTGAAGGAAGCCTCCTGCAAAGAAAATAATCAATAGTAAATAATTTAACATGAATTGTAAATATTTAAGATTAATAAATGGTCTTTTAAAAAGCTAGTCTTCTAATATCTTGCCTGTATAGCCCAAAAGTAACCTGGACAGAGACTGGGTCTGTGGATACTGTGATCGCACTGTCTGCTCACATGCACGCCGTGTCTCAGCGGACAGTGGACAGTGGGCCCCGGCCCTTTGCTGCACTCCTGGGCACTCAGCACCAGGTTCAGGGCCCCTAGACGGCGTGCCCGGACGTTCTGTGTTGGCACAGGTGAGTGTTATGCCCCAAGTCCAGGGCTGCCTGTGAGGGACGGCAGGCAGGAAGCACACCTGCAGCACTCGTCCTACTGGTTTAAATCTTGGTGACTAATGGTAATCACATCACTGAGAAACAACAGAGACTATAGAGCATTCACGTGGGGCTTGAATATCATTTACCTTCTCCAGAGTAGGCCAAGCCGGAGAAATGACGGCAGCCTTGAGTGCATCAAGGTGAGAATGAGAGCCACCTTCCGCTGGGATCACTAGCGTTGTCTGCACCTGCAGTGCACGAATGGCGTGGCTGGGCCGGGAAGCTGGGCAGGCGGGACACCCCCGGGCAAAGGCTGCTGGAAACTGGAGATTGTTTCTCGGAGACGGGGGGAAAAATCTAGTGAAACTCTAGGCAGGAGCCTAAACACTTACTGATGGTTTTGTTGTCGGACGCCTGCTGCATCACTTTTAATTCTGTGAGCATTCTGTGAGAAAGTCTTACCATTCCACTTTCCCGTAAGGCTTTCTCTGTAGACTGCCTGCGCACTGTACCCAGAAAGCATAACGGGAGTCAGGTTTGTTCCAGAGCACCAAGTATGGGTTACAGATTTTACGTACAGTGTGTTCTGTGCAGATTCCTTACACACCTTTCATTCTGCTTATACTTTCATGTCTTATAAGCTTGTCATGGAAATGACTCTTACAAGAGGGAAAATTTGAGGAGACTCGGTGTTTTGCTTCTTTCAACTACAATTCAGTAGCTTCCATTCTGCATGGTGGTGGTAAAGGGTGCTGGGTTTATTTTGGCTTTTTGGCACAGGATCTCGCTGTGTAGGTCCGGCTGGCCCTGAGCTCACTGTGTGGTCCATGCTGGGTTCAGTCCTGCCTCAGCCGCAGGAGTGCTAGGATTACAGGAGTGCTACGGTTACAAGCTTGCATCACCATCATCACTTTGCTTCCTTTATTTAAAGCATGAAAATATATACGTTGGAAGAAACTGACATGTTTCTTATCTTTGGCTTTAAGTTTTGCATGTGATGAAAAGCTGGGCACAGTTATACACACCTGTTCATCCCAGCACTTTGGAAGGCTGAGGTAGGAGGATTCCGAGTTCAAACGCAGCCTGGGCAAGTTAATGACTTAGGAAGGCCCTGTCTTAAAAAAAACCAAAAAACTACAGAAAAGACGATACAGCTTAGCACTTGCCCTCAGTCCACATTCCCACAGTGGGAAGAAGAGAGAAAAGGAAGTTGATAGGTAAAGTGACTTTGGACAGCAGTGAGAACCCAGACCCAGGACTGCTTAACTGAGGGGTGCTTGCTCTGCCACACTGTGCCTTGCTGAGTGCAGATGGGGAGAGGCGGTATGTTGTAGGGGAACAAGAGATTCGTTACATGAACAAGTCAAACCCTAACATGGCCAGGACCTGGGAGTTGGGGTGCAAGTTCGAAGGTGCAAAGGACAGAATGCCGAAGGGCACGGCCTCCCTGTGAAGATGGCTGCACGCGCTGACCAGGACGGTGGACCTTCTAGAGCTTTTGACGATACAGCAGGACGTGACACTCCTGCCACAGGTTTGCCACCACTGCCCGCCGGCCTTGCTCTCCTCAGAGTGGTGTATCACACCTGTCTCCCTGACAGTTTGAGACATCTGTAAAAAAATGCATGTGCACCACTGGATAATAAGGAAGGGGTGTGTACTTTACCACCTAGTAAACCACCGTTTGGAAGGGCAGAAGCAGTGGTGTTAATGAAAAATTTAAGCTCAGACTGGAAGGGCTGCCGGAATGGTAAGGTTTCTCTAGGCAGGCAGATGTGAGGTTGTGGGTTAGGGGTTGGAAGTCATCAATCCTATTTCGTTTCTAAAGGCAAAGTATCTGCCTTTGAGTGACTGGATACCCACAACTCCAGGGCCTGTTCCCCAGATTTCTTTGGACAACTCCTTTGTGAGAAGACATTCATGTAGAGGAAGCCATTCCCCTCGACAGGATGAATCCAAGCAAAGCTTTGCTGTTCCGAAACATCTGTTCAACTTGGACTACAGGAATTGCAACTGCCTTATTTTGGCTCGGGCTGCCAGGATATTTACAACCAAAGTAAGTTTGTACAATACTTTATAGCTTGTATTCTGTATTTTCACTGGCTACTTTTGGCCTAATTTTTTTTTTTTTTTTTTTTGTCTTTTTGAGACAGGGTCTTGCTATGCAGTTCGGGCTGACCATGAGCTCACTTTGTGGCCTGGGCTGCCACGATCCTCCTGCCTCAGCCTCCCGAGTGCTGGGATTACAGGCGTGCGCCACCATGCCCGGCATAATTTTATCTTTTTAAAAGTTGACTTATTCTAGTAACAAAATCTCCAAAATTCTTCTAGTGATAAAGAGAGGAATTAAATTATCCTCCCATTTGAAGTAGATCTAGACAGTTTGTAAACAAGAATACAGAAATATAACCAGGCATGGTGGTGCATACCTGTAATGCCAGCACTCAGGAAGCTGAGGCAGGAAGATAGCTACAGGTTTGAGGCCAGCCTGGGCTATAAGGTGAGTTCAGCACCAGCCTGAACTACATAACAAAACCGTCTCAAAACGACAAGTATAGAATCCCTATAATACTGACAAATAAATCCAGAAAACTGACCAAAGGTGGGGATATGGCTGCCAGTTGACTCTGGATTCCATAGATTTGTACATCTGAGAGTACCCAGTAAATACCTCAACATTTCAAAATTCATTTGGTGAGAAAGGACCATTACATGCTGGAATAGTTTGACTTGACACCTTGTTTTCTGCCCTGACCCTGGGCCTTTTTGTTGGGAAGGCTGGGAGACTGGAACAAAACTGGCCACTAGAGTAGTTTCATATCATAGGTGAGTGATGGCGAATGATTTAGAGACGAAGTGCCCAAACTGCAACCCCAAACCCACCTTTTCACTGCACTCAGGAGGCTGAGGCAGGAGGATCATTGTGAGTTTGAGACCAGCCTGAACTACATAGCGAGACCCTGTCTAAAAAAGACCAAAAAAGAAAAAAAAAAAAGTGTAAGGGGATAAAGAGACGGAAGAGAAGGGAAGGAGATGGAAAAGGAACTGGGATGTGTTATGTACATGTGCCAACTCCACACAAGGGATAGAATCACATATTGCAGCTGTTCTAATAAATAAAAACTGAAACATTAAAAAGGGCTGGGGACGTAGGTTAGTGATAAAGCGCCTGGGTCTGACCCCTAGTAATACCATAAAAACTAAATTTGAAAAAATACGGACACATATAATATGTGGGCTTTTATAGTTATTTTTATTTATTTAGAGACAGGGCCTTGCCATGTACTGTAGGCTGGCCTAGAACTCTTATGTAGCCCAGGCTGGCCCTGAACTTGAGGTGATGTTCCTGCCTCAGCCTCCCCAGTGCTGGGGTTAAAGGGGTATGCCATCACATCTGGCTATAAAGCTATTTTTAGCACAATATATTTTGAACTTTTTCCACTGAGCATTGTAGAAACCCGTCATTAAGAGACAAGTCCCTGGGCCGGAAATATAGCTCAGCAGCACAAGCACCTGCCTGGAAAGCCTGAGGTCCTGAGTTCAATTCCCGGTACAAAAAAAAAAGAGACAAGTCCCTGAACACTACAGTTTTTCTTGAAGCTACACGGCAGTGGTTCTCACGCTTCACATTATGCAGCTGCCTGGAGATAGTTGTAAATATTGCTGCCTGGCTTCTGCTCCCAAACATTTTTTTAATTGGTATGGAGCATGACCACAGCAACACAGCTGCTCAGTCTCCAAGGTGACTGCAGTGTGTAGACGTTACCATGTAGGTGGGCCGTCACCCCCAAACTCCATGTGCAGATTACATGCTTTACCTGTGGGCAACGATAGCATTTCTAAATGGCATTTTCTCAAAGGAAAAATGCCTCCAGAGGGCAGAGCAAACACTGTAAGACAAGCTCTGCAGAGACTGCAGCACTGAAATTTAGTTTTGTTTATTGTTTTTGTCTTTCTGTTTACTGTTTGTCTTTTTGAGACAGGGTTTCCTACGCAGTTCAGCCTGGCCTTGAATTCACTGTGTAGTCCACACTGGCATGCAACTCACACCAATCCTCCTGCCTCAGCCTCCTGAATGCTGGGATTACAGGAGTGTACCTCCACACCCAGCTAGTTTTGTTGTTTTTGATGTGGAGTATTTTGCATGAAAACACCGTTTCACTTGGACTAAGGTCTCTTGGAAGCTGTAATACATGTTAGTCCTGAAGCCAAGAGCATGACTACTGAGTTGCAAGGTGTACACAGAGGTCAGCTCAGGTGCTCAGCTAAGTCTCCCTGCTAAGGCCAATGTGCACAGGAGGCAGGGTGCTGATGCTCTGCAAAGGGCCAACCGGCTCCCTGTGCGAGAAGTTCCCAGGGCACTGGGCACGTGCAGGTTTCAGTCTCCAGGGACAGCGACTCTCACAGGCTGAAGCACAGCGGAGTCAACCAGAGAACGTGCAGTAGTGTGGTTAAAGCTTTTCATTACAGGAAGGGCGCCTTTATCAGAATTAAAGTAGGGTCACCCTCGCCGACCCCAAAATAGTGTGCCTTGTAGGAGCGTCACCATGTAGGGCAGGAGCCTGAAAGTAAAAAGACCACAAGGTACAAGACCAGAACGTTGTCTGTGGAAGAAGTTTATCTGATTACTAACCATTGAAGATCACTTGTTACGTAGGCCCAGGCACAGCCCAGCCGCCCCACCTGGGCCTGCCCAGTCCTCTTCCAGCATCTGCCCCTTGGCTGTCCTGATCTGGTCTGGGTAGCTGTGTTGGGTGCTTTGCTTTGCCCTTCCTAGTACATCCGCCCCTGCGGCCCATCGGGCCGGAAACCATCGTCCCGCCTGCCCTGCTCTCGGAATAGGCCTGGCTGCTGCTTCCTCTTGTGGTGTATCTTCTCGTACTTTACTCTCCCCAGTCTTCACGCTCAGAGCTGAGTCAGAATAGATCCTTCTCCATTCTGAACGGATTCCAAGTCCAGTTCATAAATTTTTATTTACTTTGGTTTTTGAGATTGGGTCTTGCTATGTCGCCCAGGCTGGCCTCAAAACTCCATGATCCTCCTTCCTCAGCCTCTCGACTTCTGGGAGTACAGTTTTTGGTTTTTTGAGAGTCTTGCTGTGTAGTGCAGGCTGGCCACACTGGTATCAAAACTCCTAGAAATCTTCCCGCCTCAGCCTCCCAAGTGCTGGAATTACAGGTATGCCCCACACTTGGTCAGGATTTATTTTTAAAATCACCTCCAAAATCAAGTAAAGGAAGAATTCTGAGTTGTCCAGAAAATGCCGTCAATGGAATAAGGAGTGAGTTCTATGGGGCAATGGACCACGGCAGTATGTCTGCAGCCCAAAGATAACTAAAAGACTCAGGGCATAGGCCGGAGCCAAATCCAAGACTTTACAGGTTAAGCTGCGGAGACTGTCCTATCAGCAGGATGCCACAGAACTTAAGCAACTGCAGTGCTGCGAGTGGCAGAGTGCATTTTACACGGCTCTTGCTTCAGAACACCAGGAGACAGCAGTGCAGACACCACGGCGGGCAGAAAGTGCTGCGGAAGGTGCCACCCACAGAGCTCAGGGTCTCCTGCTCTCCTCTGCCGTGAATAAGGATTGCTGGTAATGTCAGAGCTCAGATAAACACATTTTGGAGGGAAGAGAGTTTAAGTGAATGTTGAGGAGGAAACAGCCAGTTGGCAATTAGAGAAACCCATCTTTGAGTCAGATTCCAGGCTGGAACAACAGATTGGCACTGAACAGCCACAGGCAGCTCTGTGGTTAACATTAAGGTGATGCCCTAGGAGGAAACATTTAACACTGTGTGCTGCGTGCCAGCGCTGGCTCTAAATCCGTAGCATGTTCACTCCTAAACTGCTGCCCCTTCATCAGGGAGAGCGCCCACAGATCCCTCTTCCTTGGGAAGCAGATGGAGACTTGCTCCGGCAGGAAGTAAACCGTGGCGGGCGGCCGGCATGGAGAACCGGGGAGTTGGGAAGCAGACGCACAGGCAGCACCTGAAGAAAAGAAGCCACCCTAGCTGGAACCCCGGCTGCAGGCAGCAGGGAAGGAGTAGACAGGATGCCTGCTGGCCTGAGGACCAGGGCGGTGCGCATGCGCGATGCCCAGCACACAGGCCGCCTCTTCCCCATCCACTGCGGAAGGAGGTCATCCTCAGTAGCAAAGCGCCAAAGCAGATGTGCACCTTGCGCCATGGTCAAAACGCGCCAGCCACCCGGTGAGAAGTGGGCTGCAGGCTGGCACCGACTCTTGCAGTCACGTCAGGAGCAAGTAGCCTGATAAACCAGTTTGCAGGCTGGCGAGGCTGGAGATTATTGTCGCAGCAAGCTACGCTTCTGGTTTTTCTCTACATGTTGGACACAAAAACCAAATACAGGTCATCCTGATTTACAGTTTGGAGCAGCTGGGATTAAAAGCCATAGCTTAGGAGCAGCAGTGACATACCAAGAACATGCTGGTCAGTGTATCCTGTTTTTGTTTTAGAGACAAGGTCTCAAACTGGCCTTGAACTCACACAGTTCAAAGTTCAAGTTAACTTCAAACTTATTGTAATCCTCCTGCCTCAGCCTCCCTGCTGCCGGGATTACAGATGTGTGCCATCACACCCAGCTAATCAGTATATACAGTTAATACATATGTTCCTAAATGCAGGCTCTACAAAACCTTACCGTGAGACACTAAAGTATTTTAGGAGAGTGACAGAGCACAGGAGGAAAGTAGTCGCATTGTGTCCTTAGCTATCCTCCATGGCACAACTTGCTAGATTCTTAGCAGTTGCTAGGAAAATCTGTGTCTGATCAGAGTATGTAATACAATCATCTTTGCCCTAAGAGAGCACTAAGAAAGACAGGACTAAACAAAACAGAAGGGTTTTTTTTTGGATACCAAGAATCAAACTCAGGACCTTACACTTGCCAGGCAGGTGCTTGTGCCTTGTGCTGCTGGGCTATATCCCGGCCCTTTCCTGTCTTTTTGAGACAGGGTCTCGATATGCAGTTCAGGCTGGCCTTGAGATCATTTTGTAGCCCAGGCTGGTCTTGAACTCACAATGATCCTCCTGCCTCAGCCTCCTGAGTGCAGGGATTACAGGCGTGTGCCACCATGCCCAGCCTAAAACCGAAGTTATAGTTAAATATCAAAATATATAGTACTGATTTTTTTTTTTGGGGGGGGGTCTTTTTGAGACAGGGTCTCACTATGCAGTTCAGGCTGGCCTTGAACTCGCAATGATCTTCCTGCCCCAGCCTCCCAAGTGCTGGGATTACAGGTGTGTACCGCCATAGTACTAATTTTGAAAGCTGGAATAAGTAATGTTTTAAGAGGTAGAATTTGATATTAACTCCCAATTGGGATAAAAATCAAGTGAGTTTTTAAAACTTTTATTAAGAAGTACCATGTCACATTTTTATGGAAATGATAAAAGATTAGAAAGGGAGCTTCTGTTAAAACTCTGTCGTGTACAGATACAAATTCTCTATGATGAATGTGATCATTATGTGTATCTAAAATTTATCAACAAAATCTGATTGAAAAAAAACCTCTGTTCACCTAAGAAGTGTCTGATAAGTATCAGCTTATCTAAATTTCTTAAAAATACAACTTTTTTTTATAGCAGAAAAACTTAAGGGTAAGAGAACCAAGTTTTGTGTGAAATTAGGTAATTCATGTAATCCTGTATCTCAAAGTTTTAATATGTAAAATGGCTAGAGTACTGTTACTTTTACTGTCAAAAGGTCTTACTGAGATCTCATTTGAAAGTGTTTTTACATAAAGTTCTTTAAGTCTGGCCAACTAAAATATTAAACTCATTATGGTACTTAGACCCATAGGTCCTGTAAAAATTAGGAAGGAAATGGCAACAGGCAGAGATCTGCCAAACACTGCTAAAATGGAACAAAGTAGAGAAGCATTTCTTAGCATGGTAGCTGGAAGGAGAAAAAGGACTTATACTGCTTTCCAACTAGAACATCTTTATACTGACTTTGGAATATTGTTTTAAAAAAATCACCAGAGACAAAAACACAAGATAAATTTCATTTCTATATTTCAGAAAACCTACTTGAATACACTTTGAAACAAGAGTACAACAAAATAGAATATACTTCAAATGTTGAATATACAAACTATTATAGTTCAAATCTGAACACTGGTACTTTCCCTCTTAAAACATCAACTAAAAAAACAGAAAAATAGGAAAGGAACAAAAAAGGGGCAGGGGGGAGGAAAGGAGGGAGCGTGGGAGGGAGGGGTGCCAGGTATCACAGCTACCTGACGAAGTTCACGCTGCGCCTGCACTTGCAAGTGGCGGTAGAACTGAAGCTCGTGTCCGCGAAGACGTCCAGCTAAGTGAATGACACAGGCATGGTACAGCAACAGGCCAGAGCCAACTGTTAATTTGTCCACAATTAAGAAACTGACAGACTTAAAACTACCATATAAAATGTTACATGTAAATTCTATAACAATACTGTGCTAGGTACAAGATTTTTAAAATTTTTCTTTTAATAAAAAAACTTTACACAAACAAGCCATTAGCTTATTTCAAGAAAGAAAACCGAAAATTAGTCTAAGGCCTTTGTTTTAAATCAGCTTAAGCTATATGATATTTAAAAAAAAAAAAAAAAAAAAAATCGCACTAGATCTTTTTTGCTATCCTCTCTGAAGTTTTTGGATCCATTCTTCAATTCACATTCTAGAATACCTATGTTAGCAGAATCTTCACATAGCACCAGTTAAGTTGAGTACTGTGCGAGCACAGTAGTAATTGCTGGTATGCATATAAAATGCATCAAAAATCGCTATATGTAACAATGAGATCACCCATCCCAACCCTCCCCGCTGAAAACTATATAACCTCTTACAGATGTTAGTGTTCCAAGTCTTAGTGTAACCGGATAGTGTAGTGAGCGGCTTGGTCCCTTTCAATCCTTCTTCTCCTTGACGGGTTCAGTTGTTTGCTACTGTAAGAGGCAGTTTTCTGTCAGCATCTCAACGTGTAGTTCATTTCCCACTGAAACATGGGATAGGTAATTTATTTCCAGTAAGTCTGATTGTTTTCTTATATGCATTAAAAATGTTTTAAAGTCTTCCTTTGACTTTTTTGATGACTGACTTCCCTTGCAAGTATTTATGTCAATACTACCAACAGTCTGAAGTCCAAGGAGGAGCGGCTATTTACTTCTCACAGGCCACTAGTCCTTCTGTTTTCATAGTTACCGGCAGGGCAATAGCTGAAGGCGCACTGACAACCACTACGTGGGTCACTGTCTTATTTCCATCTGTCGGTTTTTCTTCTACCAGCTGCAAAGTTTTCACATCATGTTCCTGCTTTTTTGCCACCGCTTCCGATTTAACCTCTGGGCCTTTTATGACGGCACTGATCACTCGTGGAGGAGTCTGGCCCGAGGCCTGCTGGGCAGGCACGGATAGTCTCATGACAGGTGTGCCATGGGCTATGGAAACGGGGGTAAGTGCTCTCACAGCCAGCGGGGTGCCCACAATGTTAATGCTTCCTGACCCAGTCAGGTTTGACTTTGTCTGCAGTTGACACTGCGCTAGCTGTGTGGCTGGGATGGTGATGATTTTGGCAGGTTGCATAGTGATTTTGTCTCCGCTCTCGGCGGACGCTGGCATCACAGTAGGGATTGTCTGAATGACCACCTTTGGAGAGGCCGTTGTTGTTGGACTAGTGCTGGTTATTAATGGTGCTCCTGCGTTAACTGACTGAACTGCCACAGTTGAAATCTTCTGACCCAATGATGTCATTACAACAGGTACTTGCATTGCCACACGAACTGTCCTAGATGAAAAGAAAAAATTGATTATGTATTTAATGCTCAGAAAAAAGTCTCTTGAGCAAAAAGATGAATACAGATCGAAAATGTTTATAACTAGTGCTCCCAAATTTTACAAATATACTGTCAAGCTCAGTAGTGAAATACCACAAAATCAACATATTAAAAAACCTAAAAGCTCACGGTAAGGTCCATCTATAAAATGACGCGAGTCGATCCAAGCTAGTTGAGACATTTACTTTAACAACAACCAAAAAAAAGTGAACTGTCGAACACTTTGAAAAGTCCTGAAAACAACTGTGAGGTCTGAGAATCCCAGCTAACACAGCACAGAGGCATCTCGTTCTGCCGGCATTGCATGCAGCCCTACAGGCTTTGCCTCCCTTACCTGGGAGCTGCTGTTGCTGTTGCTGCTGCCGCTGCTGCTGCGGGCACTGTGGTAGGAGGCCTGGACGAAGCATCCTGACCAGGGGAAGTGATACTCACAGCTCTGGCCACACCTTTCTCTGTTCTGGAACAACTGATAGATGAGTTTTTTCCACCTCGAACAGAAGCCGCTGCTTTCAAGAGACTTTCTGCAGACAGTGACACTCTTTCTAAGGACTTCTCATCGGCAGCTGCTGCTAACTCTTCATTACAGCTCTCATTTTTGTCATCATCGATGACCACTATGTTTTTGGGCATATCCTTGAACTGGTACACAAGCCTCTGGCCTTCGACCTTTGCAAGAATTCCTCTTTGGTAGTAATATCTGAAAAGGAAGAAAATTAGTAAATAAATCCAATTATTACTCCCCTCTTCCTGAAAAGCCCACACACAGCAGATCCTAACAGAAGCTTCCACCTGTGAGAAGACAGAGCTCTTACTGCTCGAACTGCTCAAAAGCTAGAGCTGGAGCAGAAACAAGCTGGAACATGGTGCCCTATAACCTAGAGCCCTAGGAAGTAGCTGAAAGTTTAATCAGTTTTTTAAAGGAAATAATTTATCTTGAATACAAAGTATTTTATTGACAGTGGCAGAATTCTATTCTGAGTTACACAGGTTATACGTTTTGCTATTACATGGAAAAATTACCTAAGCCACATTTTACACAGATGAAGCTTTGAGATACGTGAATACTGTCACATAAATTCTGATCTGTTCACTTACAAACACTTGTATTCTGTCCAACAAGTTTTAGAATTTCTCAAAACTTATGAAAAAATTTTTATCAAGATAAATCTATAACAAATTTCTAAGAACTAAAAAGCAAGTTAACTTTGGAAATTACTTCACTTGAGTTTAGTTTCTTTTTAAGAACTCTACACAGAAACAGTACTTGCTAGGCATGGTGATGCATGCCTGTAATCCCAGCTGTTGGGAAACTAAGGTGAGAGGACTGCTGCAAGTTCAAGGCCCTCCTGAACTACACAGCACGACACAGTCTCAAAAAAAAAAAAAAGGAAAGAAAAGAGTCCTAGCAAGGCGTGGTAGCACATGCCCGCAATCCCAGCCACCCGGGGCAGAGACAGGAGGGTCAAAAGTTCACGCCAAGTCAGAGCAACTTATTTACAGCAAGACCCTGTGTGTCTCAAAATTAGGAAAGGGGAGGAGAAAGGGCAGAGGAATAGTCCTGCTGGGCATGGCAGAGCACACCTGTAATCCCAGCACTTGAGAAGCTGAGGCAGGAAGACTGCTGCAAATTCAAGGCCACCAAACTACATAGTGAGACCCAGTCTTAAAAAAAAAAAAAAAAAAAAAAAGGCAATACTCTTAGGTACAAAGGCGTATTTTCTACAAAAATAAATTTTCCAATGTTGAAATCGTAGGCATCTGGACCAAGTTCCTTCTCGCCAAATTTAAGAAGCACCTCTAGAAAATCGTCCAAGGTTACAAGTTCTATTAAGAGATTCTGAGCCTCTCTTGAAACAGCTAGTAAACAATATAAAAAGATAATGTAGATTTGTTTGACCACCAGTTCATATGTGTCCTTACCTTAAGGCACGTCCCATAGTTTCATAGTTCATGTCTGGCTTGTTCTTATGCTTTCCCCAAAGCTTAGAGACGGCCTTTGAATCCACGAGTTTAAATATGCCCTTCTCTCTCTGAGTCCATTTAATATACCGAGGACAAGTATTCTTATCTTGAAGTAGATCCAAAAGAAACTCCCACAAATAGGTTGTATTTCCTTTAAAAACAAAGCAAAATAATAGTAGAAATTAATTTTAAGTGCATTAATAATTAAAAGCAAATACATTATCCTTTTTAAAAAACATAATCCTAAGTATACTCTTGCTGTTTTTAAAAATGTTTCTAACAGTTCTCTACACTGTCATATACTCTGAGTTCAGTAAAAGACAGAGGTACAATGCTTGGCCCAAATTTATTAATTTACATTGAGTTCTGCATAAATTAAGCTTGTTCCTATGTTTATTATAAGCCCAAATTCCATATCAAAATTCATCAAAAGGTATTCAATCTTATTACACAGGCAGGCAGTACACAATGGAATGTGAGAGAATTTTGGACTTCAATCTTAGGATCTTCTAACAAGTCTACTATGAGATTATGCTCCATTGCCAGTCTGACCAGATGGAGACACTCCTGGAAGGATGACAGGTAACTGGATCGTGAGGCACTATGTTCACCAGTGTATTCCACCATGGAGTCCACCGCTGAGCTTCTGAGAGCCACATGCAGGTGGCTCACAGCGGCTCGCTCGCAGAGGGTGCTCTGCTGGCTGCCACTGCTCTGCGCTGTCTCCCGGCTCCTGTGAACTGAGCAGGCAGCTCTGCCCCTCTGCCCTTCCACCGGGGTGTTTCTGCCCTTTGGCCAGCTGGCCATGGATTGAAACTGTGAGCCAAACAGACCTCCTCTACATGCCAGTGTCAGGCATCGTGTCAGGCGTCATGTCCGGCAACAGGACCTACGCAGTACTTTAATTCACCTGATATGCATGAACTCTGAGGTACACGGCCTGTGAAGTGCCATCCCTTTATTATATTCTTAAACCAGACCCAGGCTACAGGCTACATCAGAAGCTTCCAAACTAAACTACTGCATCCATTTCCTCCCACTGGGTCTGGATATAGCTCAGTGGCATGAGTTCGATCCCCAGTACCGCAAAAAAAAGAAAAAAAAAAAAAATTTCCTCCCACTGATGTTCTTTCCTCTGGCATTTTATGTTCATTTTGGATTTCCCTTAAAATTTGAAACATTCATTAATAACCCATAGTTGAGCCCAAACATTTAAGCATCCTCATATTATTTCCCTCATTTCAGACTCTGTGTGTGTGTGTTAGTGTTAGTTACTAGAGACTGAACCCAAGGTCTTGCCGCTGAGCTATACTCCCACGCCCACCTCTTTTTCTGAGACAGGGTCTCACAGCCACCCAGGCTAGCCTCAAACTTGCAATCCTCCTACCTTAGTGTCCCAGATGCTGGGATTACTGACGTGCCATGCCACCATGCCCAACCAGATTAAATAAAAGTTACTGACTCTAAAAACAGATGTTTAAAAATTTCTACATCTCCTTCTACTGATTAAATCTACTAAAGATTATAGAGCAAAATAATTTCATTATATATGAACAACTCAGTTAAACATATTTGTGCTTCAATCCTAAAATACAAGCTCCTTAAATGAAAACACTACAAAGTAACAGGCCAGCCCCTTAAACTAGATGAGTACAGCATTTACCAACATTAACTACAACATTGGCCCTGGATCATACTACTGCAATGTTCATTAATAACCCATGGTTGAGCCCAGTATGCATCTCTGGACCTAACAAGACTGACTGACCTTCAGCTTCATAATACAGTGTCACATTTGTTTTTTTTTTCCTTGGTTGGTCTTTTTTTTTTTGTCTTTTTGAGACAGGGTCTCCCTATGCAGCTTAGGCTGACCTTGAACTCACTTTTAGCCCAGGCTGGCCATGAACTCACAACAAGCCTCCTGCCTCAGCCACCACGCCCAGCTCAGTGTCACATTTGTTGATCTCTGAAGCTCAACTGTATCAGCATCACGACCTAAAAACTACAGAAGCCTGTATATCCTTCAACTACATAGTATGGAGCTAGCAGCATTTTTATTTTATGGAAAACCAGGGGATTATCAATATGAGTAGACATAGTAAAAACAGAAATTTTATTCTGGAAGAAATTTTTGTAAAATGCAGAAGATGGTTTGTATAGCAGGAATTTGAAGTGTTTGTTGAAAAAAATTAAGACTCATCAACATTCCACAGGTTATATCTTTAAGTACTCTACCCAAGTTTGTTTGTTTTTGAGACAGGGTCTCACTATGTAGCTCAGGCTGTCCTAGAACTTACTACATTGCCCAGGCTGGCCTAGGGGAATGTAATAACAATCCTCCCTCCTTCCTCAGCCTCCCAAGTGCTGGGATTACAGGTGTTTAACACCTGTTTGCCCAGCTCCCATCTCCAAATTCTTAAATTAACATTTCTACTTCTGGCTGTAAGGAATACAGGATTCTGAAAGGGAAGCTTTTGTCAGGTAAGGATTTGCCTGTGAAGGACATTATTGTCATTATTTTGCAAATGAAGAAACAGAGGGATTAAGAATCCATGTTTGATTATAACAATTTACATCTTCACACTGTAACATCTGCCTCAAGTTTAAGATATAAATTTTAATGAAAGGTAATGGGGAGGGGTGCAGTGATAGACCATGATTTAGCATTCAGGAGCCTGAGCACCACTACCCTCCAAAGTATTTGATTGGTAAAAATAGGTCATCAGTTTTTTTTTGGCACAAAGCATCAGGTCTTTGGGTATAAGTGATACCACTGGTAAGAATTATTTTGAGAACGGTAATAATTGTACGTTTACAATTCAACTATTATTTACTACTACTACATTAACATTTTTAAAGTTTTCAATATATATTAAAAGACAACACTTAAGAGGTTAGAAATATGAAATGACCAAAGACAGACAAAGAAAAAAAATACCCCAAATCTGTCCCACATTGAATCTTTTTCTAAGTATTACAAAATGCAAGTGGATGGTAGGGGAGAGGTTGTCCAACTAAACACCAAGTTTTATTGTAGACTTACTAGACTTAGCTTTTTTTTGGTCTGTTTTCAGCTTGCCTTGAATTCTTGTGTTGCTCCTAACCATTAAGAAACTATGTAGTAGACACAAGTCTTAGTGGTAAGCCTCTTTGATTCAAGTGGCTGCCCGTGGGGGAGGACTGCTACTACACATACATGCATCCCCTAAAGAAGATGTGCATCTGTGTGCCCAAACAGAAATGCCTATTCTTTTCTACTCCCCAGAATGTAGCTATAGCTGTCGAACTGCTATCGGGTAGGACTGGGCAGTTATTTTGATAAAGCTCTTTATGGAATGCTGATCAATCCCCAATTAAGAAATACTACCAGACAGTGTTTCCATATGCTCATGTACTAGAAATAATTTTCCTATAAATGTGAAAATGTCACCTGACTGGGGAAAAAAATCTCATTTCAACAAAACAAAACCCTCCCCAAATTACCTTTTCCTTCTCTGGGTTTCTTCTTGATACCTAATTCGGGAGACCCATTGGAAATTGGTGATTGCTGGGTCTTTGGTTTACGGCCGACTGAAAAAATAAAATATTGAAACCATGTATTGAAAACAGGAAAAATAATAAGACACTTGATTAGTAGAATTTCTGATAATACATTATTCATTAAATTAGACATTATGTGGATTAAAATGAAAAATTAATTCTAAAAATACTTCTGCAGTTCTTGAAAAAGCAGTTTAGTAGTAATTTTTTTGTTTTGTTTTTTGGGGGTTTTTTTGTCTTTCTGAGACAGGGCCTTTGCTATGCAAGTCAGGCTGGCCTCAAATTCCCAAGGATTGTCCTACCTCAAATTCCTGACTGCTGGGATTACAGGGGTGAGCTAGCACACCCATGTTAGTAATTTTAATGTATATAGCAAATCAGGTACTATTAATCCTCACTTGGTAATCTTCTATAGTGATGTAGCAGGAGAAACAAATTCTTTTTTTAACAAAATAAATTCTGTTTGTTTCTGTTATACAAGACTGTTAGAAACAGCTTTACCTAGTTATTGCAGATTTGTTAATCTGTGAAGCACTCTGAGGTCCAATGAAGTGAAAAGTATTAAAACACGCGACTGCTATAAGCCAGTTTGCCAGAATTTAAGCAAAAATGTTTAAATATCTACACCTCTACCTGCAAATACATTGTCAAAAGAACTATTTCCAAGTAGTCATTTTCTATGAGTGGTATCTGTGCCGCCTTTTTCGTATCTCCTTGTCTCTGCCATCGACTTTTCTTGGCAAATTAGCACCCATGAAGAATGTTTGGAAAGGCAGAGGTTCTACCTGCTCTGCTCAGGAAGGCATAAGGCTGAGATGGGTCAGATCCTCAGCACGGAGGATGAAAGGGGCCTGCGAGGGGAACCCTGAAGAAAGAGCTGAGGAGCACTGCGCTACGATACCCGCTTCCCCATCAAACCTATTACTGCTCACGGCAACTGTCACATCTGGGATTTCTGATGTCAATTCTCATCATCAGTAGCAAGGATTATTTGAATTAACTATATAAACACTTACATTCCAATGTCTTAATTTATAGGACAAAATACATAGATATACTCTAGGCTAGAATTTCATTTCAGGTAATTCTAATTAGTGAGTCTGCTTTAGCCAAAGTTACAACATCCAGTTCACTGCTCTTGTTGGAATGGAGCTCAATTTCTGAATTTAAATACTTTTTTAAAAAACCATCAGTAATAAAACTATCTTCTTGGAAATATATCCCTTGCTTTTGGGTTCGAAGAACCAATATAGTGAAAATAACCATACTTCCAAAACTGTTACATAGATTTAATGTAATTACAGTCAAATTCCATAGTATATCTCACAGAATGAGAAAAAACAATCCTAAAATTCATTTGCAACCAGAAGAGACCTAGAATAGCAAAGGTGATCCTTCCTGGGCAACAAAGGCAAAGCAAGGGGCATCACAATCCCTGATTTGAAATTATACTATAAAGCTACTGTGATAAAAACAATGTGGTACTGTCAAAAAAAAAAAAAACAGGCCTGAAGATCAACAGAACAGATTAAAAGATGCAGTAACAACTCCAGACATACTCAGCCACCTCTGATAAAGGTGCCAAACACATTCACTGGAAGAAAGACAGCTTCTTTAATTAATGGTGCTGGCAAAACTGGCTCTGCACATGCCGAAGATTAAAACTGCAGCCATATCTTTCACTATACACTAAACTAAATTCGAAATGGATCAAAGACCTACATAATTAAGACAGAAACATTGAACCTGCTGGAAGATAGAATAGGTATTTAAGACATTGGTATAAGCAAAGACTTTATGAAGAAAACCCCAATCACACAGAAACTATGACAAAGAACCAAAAACTGGGATCTCATCTTATTGAAAAGCTTTTGCACAGCAAGAGAAATCACCAACAGAGTGAAGAGACAAGGAGTGAGGAAAAAATGTCTGCCAGCTGTTCCTCAGACAAAGGATTACTATCAAGAACATAGAAAGAGCCGGACGTGGTGGCGCACACCTGTAATCCCAGCACTAGGGAGGCTCAGGGAAAAGGATCATTGTGAGTTTGAGACCAGCCTGGGCTACAAAGAGAGCTCAAGGCCAGGCTGAACTACAAAGGGAGACCCTGTCTCAAAAACAAAACAAAACAAAACAAACAAAATAAAGAACATCTAAAGGACTAAAATGGGCTCTGAGATGAACACACATTTCTCAGATGAAGAAATATAAACAGCAAGTAAACTCATGAAAAAATATTCAACATCACTGTTCATTTGAGAGATGTAAATTAAAACGAGATTTCATCTTACCCCAGAAAAAAATGGTTATTATCAAGAAACCAACCAATAATGAACACATGAGGAGCTGCAGGGAAAAAAGGAACCCTTTTCCACTGTTGGTGGGAGTGTAGACTGATGCAAATCAGTGGAAATCAGTGTGGAGATTCCGCAGAAAACTAGAACTGGAGGTCCCATTTGACCCAGCTATTCCCCTTCTGGGTTTCTTCCCAGAAGAATGAAAAACATCGTACCACAGTGATATATGTGCACCCATGTTTATAGAAGCACAATTTGTAATAGCTAGATCTTGGAAACAACCCAAATGCCCCTCAACTGAGGAATGGATAAAAAAGATATGGTCTTTTTATACAATGAAGTACTACTACTTCAGACTTTTATAGGTAAATGGATGCAACTCAAGACCATACTCATAAGTGAAATAAACCAGGTGTTATGTATAAACATCATACTGTCTCCCTAGTATGAGAAGCTGAAAGAGTAAGGAAGATCCAAAATGTATAATAGATATCGTAAAATGGGAAGAGACTTCAAAAGGAGCAGGGCGTGGTGGCGCAAGCCTGTAATCCCAGCACTAGGGAGGCTGAGGCAGGAGGATCGTTTGTGAGTTCGAGACTGTCCTGGGCTACAAAGTGAGCTCAAGGCCAGCCTGAACTGCATATCAAGACCCTGTCTCAAAAAGACAAAAAAAAAAAAAACCAGAAACTTCAAAAGGAAAGAGAAACTGGGATGTGGGAATGGAGAAAAGAAGAAGCAAAAAATAAAAATAAAAATATATATATATGATTAAGATAAGCCATACTGCTAAATTTCTCTTAGTTCATTGAAAAGAAAGGTTTGTGCTAATACTGTTTGGACAATTAAATGCCAGTATCTTATGCTCTCAGTAACTAATTTAAAGGTAACAATATGCAGTGTATGAACCATTGTTGTGGCTGAGGATTTAGTTCAGTGGCACAGTACCTGCCTGGCAAGTGCAAGATTGTGAGTTCGATTCCTGGTACGGGGCGGGGGGCGGGGGGGGAACCATTGTTACCCTCCTATTATCTTCAGAAATTTTTTTTCCTCCTTAAAAAAAAAAAAATCTATCTTCTCTATCTCTAAATTCAAGCACAAAAGCCCAATGCTTAAAAAACAAAGGTTCGGCTATGCATGGTGGCATGGCCTCTAGTTCAGCTGCTAGGAGACAGGCAGGAGGATCACTTGAGCCCAGGAGTTTGTGAGACCAGCTGGGCAACTAGCTCAGAAAGGCTCAATTTATTTTCTCGGGAGCATTTCTAAATAGTGTGCTGGAAAAATTAATAGTGCATTTCTTGGAAGCAAAAAGGTTCTATGGTCAAATTAATGTTTAAGACACTGCATACTACCTTCTCTTGAAGACCACAAACACATTAGTATATTAAAGGCTCTGGAAATAAAAAGGTTCTATTAAAAACTAACCTAGCCGGGTGTGGTGGTGCACACATATAATCCCAGCACTTTCGAGGCTTAGGCAAGGAGGATCACCCTAAGTTCGAGGCCAGTCTGGGCTATACAGTGAGTTCAAGGCCATCCTGAATTTCACAGCAAGACCCTGTCTCAAAAACCAACGAACAAACATACCTAACCTATTGGTGGCACACACCTGTAATCCCAGAGCTTGGGAGACTGAGGCAGGAGGATTGCCATGAGTTCCAGGGCAGTCAAGGCTACATATTGAGCTCAAGGCCAGTCTGAACTACATAGGAAGACCCTGCCTCAAAACAAAAAAAGGGTGGGTTTTTTGTTGTTTTATTAATTTTTAAATGGCAATTCACTAATGGCTTTTTTTTGAGAGAGAGACAGGGTATCCCTATGCAGTCCAAGCTGGATCTGAACTCACTTTGCAGCCCAGGGTACCCTCAAACTCCTAACAACCCTCCTGCCTCAGCCTCCCAAGTGCTGGGATTACAGATAAGCAATTAGTTTCCTGATTTAAGGCATATCACATCCTGGTTCTCAAATGGGTCCTCCTTTTCATGGTCTTTCCATCTTTTTTTCTTTTTGTTTTTGGTAACATGCAACTAGCCAAAAACTTCAGTAGGTAGTGAGTGAGTAAGGTCATTTATATGTGTGCCTTTTGTTTTTTAACATATACGGCAGGACTAGTTCTGCCATCTAATCTCTCCTTTTTTTTTAATTTTTATTTTTTATTATTTTAAAGAGTAAAAGAAGGATAACTTAGTAATAGGGGAGCTTACCGAATTACAGACAAAGTGGTAGAAAATTATCAATGGTGGTTGTTTTACATACTGTTATCTACAAGATAGTTTCTCAGGAAAACAAATAGACAAATAATAGTGAGTTATAGACAAAAGTGGTAGGTTACTACCAATGGTTGCTGTACTATACTTTGGTATCTTCAAAGTGGTTTCTAAAGAAAATAAATAGAGCTATACATGAGTGACCAATTGAATATTGACTATTCTCAATGGTTGTTATGGGAAACACATAGTAATAAACAATACATCCATTTACGAAATAGCATAGGAATAATACAAACATTACAGAGTTATGGACGGATTAGTAGGAAAGTATCAATGGCTGCTGTAATACATGGTGGTATCTTCAAAGTGGTCTGACCTCTCCTTTCTCACCGCATGTATTACATGGGGGAAAGGCACTCTGCCTTAGGGGGTGGGGACTGAAGCTAGTGCCTCCAGCATGGTAAGCAGGCACCTACAGCTGAGCTGCACTCCAACTCAGGGCACTCAGTCGTAGTCCTGTCTCTCTCACAGAACTAAGCACGTGGTAGCAAAGTCAAATGTTTAATGAATAAAAGAAAATATCATTATTTCTAACAGTTTTATTTTTTGCCTTACATTTTTTTTTCCCTTTAAAATGCAAAGAGAGAGCTGAGAGTGTAGCTCAGGGGTAGAACACTTGCCTTGCATGAATGAGACCCTAGGTTTGATCCCCAGCACTAAAAAAGAAAAAAAGAAATAAAATTAAACTGCATGTAATTTCAATGTACCTACTATGGTCTACCTTGTAGCCCAGCCTTAGGTTCAAAATAAATACACAGAAAATGTAAAGAGCAAGCTAGGGAAGAAAGTACAACAGTTAGATGGTTTCACCATTGATCTGCATGGGAAACAATGCGTTGTACTACGCATATTCTCCTGGTGGTGGCACTATGTGGGGCTCCTCCACTTCATGGCTGGGATCAGAAGAGCAGAAAGGGGAATGCTCTTTATCCACTAGGGAGTTTACGCCAGTCAAAAGTCTACTGGTGTTCTCAGTATTTTAGAACAGAAGATACAGGCAAGAAGGGTAAGTATGAAAAATGGAGAAAAATAAATAACCTTGCTAACATAACCAAGTACATAAAAGGCTCGTAAATTAGAAAAATGATTAGACAAATGCACAGGAGATCTCTCATCTTCCTTTTTTTCTAGTACTGTTAAAAGCTCACTTTCTGGCACCTTTAAGGTTTAAATACAAACTCCTTTCTGGCTGGGGATGCGGCTCAGTGGTACAGCACTTTCCTAGCTCTGACTTCCATCCCGGGCACCACAGTAACATAAAATAAACAGTATAAATGTGTTGCAACACATTAAAATTTCAATTTTTTCTCTTTGAAATTAGTTAATATTAGTCATAAATCTGTAACACGTTACTTTCTATGTTGCTTAACGGGAACAGAGATGCTAGGAAGGAATCCACTTTCTCTGACATTTATAATATGCTATACCTTTCTTCTTTTTCACTGGCTCGTGGCTCTCTGGTGACGCAGGACTAGGAGAGGTAGCCATGGGCTCCGGCTCTTCAGTTGACACCTCCACTACAGTTTCAGTAATGACGTCCGGCCTCATGGCAGCGTGGATAAATTCTGGAGTTGATACACAAGGAGGGACAAACACTTCCACTATAAAAAAAAGTTGAAAAATTAAAATCTCCCATCCCAATCAATATTCCTCCTATGGACAGTTTAATAGCTAGAAGCACTTACTAAGAATTATTCAAAGAATTAAAACTTAATACCAAAGACATCAATTTGCTGAATAGTCAATGTGATCTGAAGTATACAAGAAAATAAACAAATTAAATCATCTGGAAGGTTACACGTGGTCACCTCCACAGTTTTAAAGAACTTTTGAGTTCTTTTCATAGTTAGGGAAACATTTGAAAATAACAGTAAAATAGTTCTGTAATAACTATTACTTTCCTTCCAGAATTTCTTGTTTTTGGGAGGGGTCGTGCTGTGGATTGAAGACCCAAAGGCCTCATGTGCTAGGCAAGAGCTCTACCACTGAGCTACACCTCAGCACTTTTTATTTTGAGACACGGTCAGAGCTGCCAAGGCTGGCCTCAAATCTGCAATATTTTTTGAAGCGAGGTTTTATATTCATTAGTGGTATGAAAAGAAAAGAAACATGCTCTGCTGGGCCAGTGAGCACCAGTTAAATGTAGGAAAAGGAGTACACTCTACAGAGTGAGAGCAGGCCACTGTAAAAGAGAGCACAGTGGCCAAATCTGCAGTATTTCTGTTTCAGCCTCCAGAGGCGCTGAGATTACAGGCAAGTGCCACCACACCCGGCTGAGTATCACCTTTCAATACTTAACGTCTTATTTAATGGAACTGCTCTACATCGCAGCTCATTAAAACAGCACACACAGACTGCTATCCTGTATTCCGGCTTCACTCCAATATACACCGATATTCAGGATATGACATTTCCATTTCAAATTAGAGCTAGTTAATACAGTCTATTGTGGATTAATACATGAATCCATAATGCTGTAACTTTCCTCTCATCTTCCTAAATAACCATGAAACTCCTACGCCAATGAAAACATATGGCTGTCTTAGCATTTATCATGAACTTCCGTAAATGGATCAATCAAGTCGAATTACTATCTGTACATTAAATTACAATTATGACTAAGTGAAATTGGGAGAAAATTAATATCAAAGTCTAAAAGGAAAAAACAGACCATAGGAAAACAGCAACTCTCAGCTGACAGGACTGTGAAGCAAGTGGCGTGACCTGCCTCCTTCTTTCTACCACACATATTCCTTGCAATCACTGCCTGTTCACCACTGGATAAAGAAAGGATCCAAAGCAGCCCCTACAGGCCGTACTCCTAAAGACCAGAGGCTGCAGTTTACCCAGAATTAAAGAAACAGGCATAATAAGTATTCCTTAAGATTTGTATGCTATGTGGGTATTTTCTATACTTACTTAAATAAAGTGACCTGTGGACTTAAAAAAAAAGATCACTTACTACCGACATATCTTCATGTATAACAGACCTGTGAGAGCTCCAACAATACCCTTGCATTAAAAAAAGAAGTCTCAGGCCAGGGATAAAGTTCAGAGGTGCAGCACCTGCCTGGCAAGCGCGAGGTCCTGGGTTTGATGCCTGGTACCCACAAAAAAATAAAACTGAGGGATGTAAATACCTTTGGGAGAACAACAAAATACAATCAGACAAATACTACTAATACAGTAATATTAAGTGTTAAAAAAAGTGACATCTCCATTCTAATACAAAGCAACAGACACGTTTAGTATAAAAAGGAACAGTCCACATACCAGGACTTCTCGAATCCCTCAAGCAGGTAGGAGACTCCATATGAAGCAGGGCTTCAGCAGCTTCAATTGTCTTATCAGTACAGTGTGCATTACTGCTGTGAACTGATGCTTCCACTAGGGGAAAGAAAATACTCAATTAAAAAATGAACTAATGAAACGATAACCATTGATAATTTCCTACCATTTTGTCTGTAATTTGCTAAGTCCCCCCATTATTATGTTATCCTTCTTTTATTCTTTAAAATAAAAAAAAAAGAAATGTAAAAAATGAACTAATGACATTACTTAACATAAATACATTTTAAGAAATAAATTTCCACGCGACAACTACATAAATCACTGATACATCAGTCTCTATCAATTATGAAAATTTTAAAATAAAAATAAGCCAGTATCTACATTTTATAAAATATTGATTTAAAAGAAACCAATGAGATTGATTAGAAATTAATGAGAATTTTCCAGATCTTCTCCAAATGAAAACAGAGGCCTCACTTTTTTTTTTTTAAAGACAAGACTGTCGGGGCTGGGGATTTAGTTCAGCGGCACAGGGCCTTCCTCGCAAGCGCAAGGTCGTGAGTTCGATTCCAGATACCAGAAAAAAAAAAAAACAAAACAAAAAAAGACAAAGCTGTCACTATGCAGCCCAGGCCAGCCTCAAACTGGACATACTCTGCTTCAGCCTCCCAAGGGCTGGGATTACAGGCATGCGCCACCATGCGCCAGTGAAGAAGACCCTTGAAACCTGCACTCGCCATCAAAACTAACGAGGGTGGGGCTGGGGATTTAGCTCAGCGGCACAGCATCTCCCTGGCAAGCACAAGGTCATGAGTTCAATTCCCGATACTGGAAACCCCCCCCCCCAAAAAAAAACCTAGAGTGTGTGTCTGAAAACCCCCCCCCCAAAAAAAACCTAGAGTGTGTGTCTGAAGATTAACAATCACTGTGAGGTCAACTGTGTATTTTAATACACAACCTGCAACAAAACAGGAATAATATGACACCAAGAAGAATCAGTCAGAAACATTCCTTTCTTATTTAATTTAATAAGGTAGTTCGATCCTTTTTTTGGTCTTTTTGAGACAGGGTCTCGCTATGCAATTCAGGCTGGCCTCGAACTCGCCACAGTCCTCCTCCCGAGTGCTGGGATTACAGGTGTGCATCACCATGCCCCACATTAAGATTCTCAGAAACTACACCATAGGAGCAAGAAAGTAATCTCTACGCAAGGCTACCTGCAAACAGACAAGAAGAACCTACACTTGCTTTAGGCGCCACCACTCAGCAACTTGCTTCATCATAACCTTATTCTTTTCTTCAAAACCTCCCTGGAGATTGCAAGCTTTTACCAAAGAAATTTTTTAGTTTATTTTCCTTTTGTCTCCATGAAGCCTTTTCTAATTCCACCAGCCTTTTGTATCTCTTGTCTACAAGTCCTTTATGCTTTGCTATTAAGTTACCTGTGCAAAAAGTAAAGTGTTGACACACTGGTTTGGGCTTTCCAGTCCAGCAGTTGGGTTCTAGTTTGCCACTCAGGCAAACAACTTAATCTCTTAAGCCTCAGTTTCCTCTTTCCCACAACAGGGCTACTACCTACCTCAAACAGAGTTAAATGAAATGATTCCCATAAGAAATCAGCAGTAACTTCTGTTCCCACATTTTAAAAAATGCAATGGTGATTTCTTGTTGCTCCTGTAAGCTTCTATGCTCTTCAAGGTCAAGGGGGCTACCTTAACCCACTACAGTTCCTCATACACTTTCCACATAGCACATAAAAGTGTTTCTTTTATGTGAATTAAGGTCAAGCCACTGACCTTGTAAGAAAACTGGAATGTTAGGAACAAACTTACTATCTTAACAATATACTGATTACACCTTGATTTTTTTTTTTTTTTTTTTTGGTTTTTTCCAGTACCGGGAATCGAACTCTGGACCTTGTGCTTGCCAGGCAGGCGCTGAGCCGCTGAGCTAAATCCCCAGCCCAACACATTCAGATTTTAAATACTGAATAATTTACTGGGTAAGAAACTGTGAAACACTAATACGTTTCTAACTTGATTTTTCTCCAGATATCCCTTCAAGAAACTAAAAGTAAACGTTTATACAAATTTCATAAAATCAAATTACAAATTCACAAGCTCCACATACTTGAGATATGAATCTTTTAAAACTGTTTTCAGGACTTGTAATTGGGAAAAATCCATTTGGCCTTAAAAATTCACCAAATGCTATAACGTCTCAGCCTTAAACACCAGTCATTTGGAGAATGTTTGTTTAAAAAATCCAGGGATTGTTTTACCACCTGTTGCACATCATCCACACTCTCAACCAAGGTACTAGGTCTCTCCAGTTGCTCTTTCCATTTATGGCAATCTGCTCAAAGCTAAATGGTTCCAGAGAGGCAGCCAAACCTCTAAGTAAATCTATCTTTAGGTGACCCTGCTTACTCTTATCTGCAGCTTCCCTGAAGCAAAGGATTCAATTGGCCTTTCTAGCTCAACTTTATTATGCTACGTATGAAATAAGTATTTTTTTCAAAGTGCCTCCCTACAATCCTCACATAGACTAATGAACCTAGGAAAGCAAAATTGCAGGTTTTTAAAATTTAACCTAGGAACCACTATCTTTAAAGTCAGCTTGATGTTGCAATTTAGCTGCTGTCTTAGGTGCTATTAATAAACCATCCTGGGTAAACTAATTCCTTATGTAATTGTATTAAGATACTACAGTATTAAAGTCAGAGCTTCAAGTGTTTAATAATTAAACGTAAGTAGAATTTTACCAGATTTTAACATGTTGAGGTTATACGCAAGATGCAGTTTGCCTAAGGGTTACATATTATGCACCCGACATTCTGAGGTAGTCTGAGGTACATTTTCACAACTATGAACTTCATGTTACAAAGTTTGTTATATCAGTAGAATTTCCTCCACCATCCCTTGTACTGGGGACTGAACCCAGGACCTATGCATGCTAGAAAAGCCCTCTACAGCTGAGTATGTCCAAGCCCTTTATTTATTTGTTCGTCTCTTTTTAAGACAGGGTCTGAAGCTTGTGATCTTCCTGCCTCAGTCTCCCAAGTAGCTAGGACTACAAACTAGACTTACAGGTGTAGACCAGTATGTACAGCTTGATTTCTACCTTTATTGATAACTGGGACTTTTACTTCTTGCCGTTTTTATTTTCATCTACCAACTTGAATACTGCTACACAAAAAGAAAATCTAAAAGCCTACTCTTTGCAAATCAGTTTACAGTAATATAACATTTCCAATATATTACCCATATTACAAAAATGATCACTATATCTTTTTTTTTTTTTTTTTTTTTTTGTTATTTTTCCGGTACCAGGAATCAAACTCACAACCTTGCGCTTGCCAGGCAGGCACTGTGCCGCTGAGCTAGATCCCCAGCCCCTACTGTATCTCTTTATATGTTTGTTGACATAAGTGAAAAATCTTTTGATTTTATTTTATATTTGGAGACAGGGTTTCATTATGTAGCCCAGGCTGGCCTCAAACTTACAATCGTCCTGCCTCAGCCTTCTGAGTGCTGGGACTATAGGCATGTACCACCACGCCCAGCCAACAAGACATTTTTGCTAACAGCAATTTAAGATACACCTCTCCTAGTCAAGTTTCTGCTATTTAAAAATGTTTTCAATACTATTTTTTCAGATCAATAACTCAATTAAGTTGACACGGCTCAATTCAAAAAGTATAAACATGAATTTAACAGTGTTGTGCAATCTAAGTAAGCAAACTAAAAGCAACAGCTAAAAATAACGTTCCTTATCTCTTATTTAAAATCTGATTGGCTAGTATTGTCTCTAAGCCTATATATGAAAATTATAAGAGGAAAAAATAAGCATTTCATAAAAGTAGAAATAGTGAAGTTCAAATAATTGGAAAGGTATCATTTTCTAGTAGTTGATATTTCCGGTCAATTCTCCTTGAAGAAATAAATACCATCAAACATATTACAAAAATTACTTTAACCACAGTGCTTGTTTGTGCCTTCCTTCACTATTGGAAAAAATATTCTTGTTCCACTTCTTTCTAATCAACTGGTGTTTGTATGGTAGAGTATTCCAGACTCACTCAACAGCTGTTAGAAAATACCAAACTTGGTAATTAAGTCTGACAAGAGGCATACCTCTCAGCTTTGCATGAGAGAATGCTGGCAATGGATGCAGTACATAACAATGTTCTCAGAGTCAAGAATAAAATTTAGTAGCAATTTAATTTGAGAGCAATGGGGAAAAAATGAGAAAACACTTCATCAAGTGATAGTTCCCTACAACCAAAACCATAGACTAGTATCACAAGGTCATCCTTCACTCTACTACTATACCAATTTACCAAGGCTTATCTCCTAATGCCCCCAGACTTTAACACAAATGAATTCAATAAACAGGAAGAAGGTAAAAGTCTGGGATATTCCACCTTTATCTTGTTTCCCTTGACTTGCCAATCATATAGTGCCCACTGCAATGTGTAAAAGGGAAAAAGAAAAGGAAAAAAACCAAAAAACAAAAAGCAAAACCCTACCGTTATTTTCTAAACCAGAGCTGTCCAATAAAATAAGTCATAAAGAATTTTTTTTTCAGTTCTGAGGATTGAAGCCAGGGCCTTTACACTGAACTAAGCGATATTCCCCACCCCTTTTCGTTTCTTAACTTTTAATTTTTATTAGTACATGTTTGCAGTACATGATGATTACACTCTGCAGGGGACTGGTGCACCTAACGCATCTCAGTGCTTTATCCTCCTTCTCTTGCACCCACCTTTTAATGTTTTCCTTTGCCAGCATCAGATTTACTTATTTATAAGTCTTTATCAAGTTCCCTATCCATTTTTAAATTCTGAGACTGGGTCTTGCTAAATTGCCCAGACTGGGCTGGAACTTGCAATCCTCTTGCACCAGCCTCTCATGAATGATTACACCTGACTGAAACCACATGTAATTTAAAACTTTTCAGTAACCACATTTTTAAAAGTACAAAGAAGGCTACATGAATATCCTTCATTTAACCCAGTATGTCCAAAATATTGCCATTTTAACATGTACTCAGTATAAAGAGGTTTACAATTCAATTCCTAAGCCACATTTCAA